ATATAATTTTCTATATAATGTTTATTAAAAAATTGAAATATATATTTGTAGGTCCAGCAGAGTGCCTTTTTCAAGAATCCTACTTTAATTTAATGAAAACAGCATTGAGACCCGGTGGTATAGTTTGTAGTCAAGCAGGTACCGCATGGATGAATTTGGATCACGTAGTTCAAACTTTTAAACATTGCAAATCTGCCTTCTCAACAGTAGATTATTGTATTGCTTCAGTACCATCTTATCCAACAGGACAAATTGGTTTTGTATTAGGTGGACTTGGTACAGTACGTATTTATATATATATATATATTCATATAAAATATCTTGCGCTTTTTGTTTTGAAAATACATCAAAAAAATGTTCGGGAGTTGTATAATTTATGAAGAAATATTGTTTCGTCTTTTAGGAAATGAATTTCAAAGTACCAACGAGGATATTTGAAGACGAAGAATTAGATAAAATGAATTTAAGGTATTACAGTTCCGAAATACACAAATCGGCATTCGTATTACCCAGGTTTGTCGAGAAATCTTTAAAACCGTACAGGACGACGTGAATACGGTGTTATTTTTTTAATTGACCTTTTTCTTTTTTAAGCGAATTAATTTCTTACTTTTCTTCTAATTTTTTATTTTCGGTTTAATATTTTAAATCTTCGAAAGATATGTTTCTATTTGTTTGTCAATACTAATAATTGCAATACAGTAACTGGAAAAAAAAAAACAAACAAACGCATTTCGTATTTTATAAATTAAATTTATAAGAAAAAAAAAGAAAGAAAAAAAAAAATTAACTATGAATAAATTGCTTCGTTTAATTGACAAAGCAGTCTGAAGAATATTAAAAGTCTTATTTTTCTGTTTCTATTATCGAAACTTAATCTCCCTTAATTCTCATTTATTAAAAGTGCTAATATTTTTATATATATATATATATATAATTAAAAACATCCTGTATATAATCTAGATTGATAAAATAATAGATTATCGCAGTATTATAATCTATCTGTGTTTTTTTCGTGTAAACACGAATTCTTTATTATAGTTCCTACATATTATGGCACTCTCCCACGTATATAAGTATACTAATTGTGAATAGATGAGTGTCGTCTTTGATCATAAATTGATAATATTGGTATCGTTATTTGACACTTGTACAACTTCGGAAGAGTTTATATTTATCAATTAGAAAAGATAAAAAAATAAAAAAAGAATACAAAACGTACATTAGTGATACAATATATTTATCATAATTATCGGACGTTATTATCAAACCCTTGAACTTTTTTATGATAACCGAAGAAGTAAAATAAATTACCATATCTCTGTGGATGGAAAACAAATAAGAAAAAAAATATATATATATACATTATATTAAACCATAATCGTGTTTTGCATAAGAGTCTTTTCTTCTAACTTTTCTGTTTCTGATCAATGTTATTGCAAAATTGTTGACACTCGTTAAAAAAACCTGTAACCATGGTGACAAATAATAATATTATTTATCGAAAGACTAATTAATTGCACTAATCGATCATCAACGAGAGATCTCATTGATGATAATAATAATAATAATAATTATACCTCTAATTCTTTCTTCTCTATATTTCTATCTTTCTTACAAAGAATTTTTTTAATGTTAATCTATCTACATATACGATTCGAAATATATTTACTTAACTATTTTTTTTAGAAAAGCAAGTTGCAAAGAAACATATATAAAAGAGAGAGAGAAAAAGTGGTCCATGTAATTAAAATTAATTCGATAAACATTTTATCATATTACTTTAATAAATTATAATTTAAAAAAAAAAAAGTTAAAATTTAATGTTAATATTTCTCTTTCATTTTATTTTTCATTATTAATAAATTCGAATTTATTTTCTAAAAGACCACATGAACAATATTATAAATAACATGGACCACCCTGTACATATACATACACACATATATATATATATGAAAGAGTTGATAAATGATAAGAACAAGCACTGTGTGAATAAAATATAAAGTTAATGCTAATTAATTAATTAAAAAAAAATAGAGTAAAATAAAAGAATTGGAAGAAAATATAAAAATTAACGAAAAGTAGTGTTACGTGCAAACGTCAAGCGTGAATTCACGTAAGCGTGCTTCGTTAACAAGACAAAATGAATGAAATATAATAATTGATATGTCGCGTTTCTTGTTAATTATTTTTCCTTAAGATATAATAAAGCTAATAAAATTAAAAGATATGCTAATAATAAAACTAAATAAAGCTAAAAGAAAGAAACTAATTGTAAGAAAAAACAAAAAGAAAAAAACCAAAAGCTAAAAACTATATCGCGGTCACCTAGTAAAAAATATTTCTAATATATATATATATACTATATCATCTATTTTTCGTGTAGCTTACTTTTAATTAATGAGCAACGTGTTATATTTGCTAATACGATTTTTTCGCAATTACATTTACAAGGCTAATTAATAAAAGCGCACGCGTTAATTATTATTTAAGGACACTTCGTTATATCAATCGATAATCTCATTCTCTAGACAAACACATTTTTTCAAAAAAAAAAAAAAAAAAGAAAAAGAATCTCAAATGCAATTGATTGAAATTTGTTAGTCGAAAAATATCCGTCAGTGCGTATTTAGTACTAACATTTTATCGGCTAATAAAATACGGTCACATACAAATAAAGAGAATGAAATAGTTAGGATTTCGTATAAAGGAAATGTATTACGCACACATACACATATTCATTATCCTCCTCCGCCCTCGCACAACATTTCTTATTCGTTAAACTCGCCTACGCAATTTGACTAATTTGTCAGAGCAATGATTCCGCAGTCAAGTAACACGCAGAGAGAAAAGATATTACTTTTTTTTATCTCTGTACTGTAAAAATACGTATTTTAATAATATGCCCATCGATCGTTCATCGATCTAAGGAAAAATGTATTTCGTTAATGGATTAAAAGAAAAAGAAAAATAAAAATAAAAGGAAGAACAAATAAATGCTTATGTAAAATAAAATATCTACAAGCGATCAGCAATTAATTTCTAATTAAATGTTACAGGTTTCATTAATGAGAGTTATAAGAGAGATGTTTGGAAGAAAAAAAACATTGGCGGAATGAATATAAGATCTGTTTTAATCAAACTCCCGCGGTATGTTATTTCTTTTTTAATTGTATATACCGATTAAGAGTTTGTTAATTCGCGATATTACACGATAATTTAAAATCTATCGTGTTTTTATGTTAAATTATATCATCTTATGATCAGGTATAGAAAATTGGTCAGATATACAATATTTGTTGTTTTTATAGACCAAATGTTAAAAATTGATGCGTTATCAATTATCCAATAAGGAAATAATAGCGATTAGGTAAACAGATAGATAGGTTACATTTGCACAACATAATTTTTGTCGAATGTACGAGTACACTTTTCGTATGACAATTCTCGTTCTTGAATATACGTGATAGAAGAACCTTTATATTTGGCTTGTCTGATGGCAGTGAGTCTACCCCTGGCTTCCTCGAGTTCACGTTCGATACGTAAGACCTCTGACCTTGCATTAATTTCTTGTGCTATGCCACCAACCATCCTACGATTAAGTATCAATGATCTATCCTCTTCTTGTTGTATAGCTTGTTGCGCGGCACGCACTAAATTATCAGTTGCCCGTTTAACTGCATTACCAGCAGCTTGCAAACGTTTCGTACTATCGCTGTCAGGATCAGCTTTGACCTTGCAAGCAACCAAAAGTTGTGCCGTGCTACTGGCCACTTGTTTAGCACTTGAAATTAATTTTTCTTCCGAACTGACACCTTGTACCAAAGCATTTGCAGATTCAACAAGACTGTGGGTAGCTGCGGCTACCATCCTTGCAGCAGAAATTAATCCTTCCGACCATTGCCCATCGTCCGAACTGGTCAATGGTGTTCGCGATACTTTCCCGGTTGCTATTAATTCTCTTTGAGCAGCACTGGCTGCTTTAATCAAAGCCGAGGTTGCCGCGGCTATTGATTTTGCCGCTTCTAAGATCATGTCATCGAAATTCATATCTTCGCTGGCTTCCTATTAAACATATATTAATATATAAAACTTAGGATTTTTTATAATTATTATATTGCTTGTCTAAGTGAAAATTGTCGCAATTTTTCAAACGTCTTTTTACAAAGAAGATATTACGAATCATAAATATTAATTAACAATTAATACACGTTCGCGAACGTGAATATATGCTATAGCATTCAAATTAAAAAAAAAGACGATTTTTTCGTATTTAAAATAAAATTCATTTCGATGTATGTCGATCATTCTGTTAAATTATGTTTTGCCATTTTTTTGCCAGCTGCAAAATTTCACACAGTAACTATTTTTAATTATTATCCATTTTAGGATCTGTAGCTTCAAGTTTTTGTAATGATTATACCCGTAAAAGTAATGACTAATTGATTATTTAATATATAATAATCTAACTTATCCCTAATAAAATGTATTTAATCAAATTTAGGATATCACAATTAATTTCAATATAAAATAAGAACGTCACTTATTTTTATCTTTTCACTGAAACCCTTTAAATGTCCACGCGAACGTGTTAAACGTTATTTCTAAAAATGACTCGATGCACCTAACACCACAGTTGTTTCTAATAATAATAATAAAAGCAAAAAAAAATACGAATTTGATTGTAAAATTTACCTGGATACTTCTTCTCGGTCTAAGACTGGCTAACTTCTTGGCAGCAGCGTCGATACTGGCTGCAGCACCCAACAATTCGTTCTCAGCGATTACGGTAGGATCGTCAGGATCAACCCAATCGTTTCCTTTCAATAATTCAGCTACGGCAACCAATTCCGTGACGCTTTGAGCAATTTTACGTGAGATCGGTGGAAGAGTATGTTTAGCATCTCCCGATCTGGATGCTATTTGAAGTATTGCCTGAAGTAATTCTCTGTAGTTCATAGCAACATCATGACCAGCCTGCAGTGTTCTGTCCCTTAACTCGGCCGTTTCCGCACAGTTGTAGGCGGCCCCCTTGCAAATCATCAGCATGTCGCTTATCGACTTCCTGCCCATGTTTGCGGCAGCTATGATGTCGTCTTGTTTACAACTGTTACCAGCTGACACTGCCTTTGCCGTTGATATCGTAATACTTTTGGTACAACGCACCAATTCCTCAGGTGTTACGCTATTTCTTTGACCCTCCGAAGTACTCAATGCACGAATTTCTTGAGCAATAGCTTCGATAGTTGATTCCAATGCACGTGTACCTCGCGTGTGTTCATCCTCAACAGCCTTAACAGTTTTCAACAATGATGTCACATTCGTCACCATCACCTAAAGAAATCGAAAAAACAAACGACACGTGAGCTTTATTATGATATTTCATTTATTTCATGTTATTGGAAGATCGGCAAAGTATCTTTTGATAAACGTTATTATTCAATCTAGCCAAGTTAATTCATGTATTTCCTTGTCTATTTGCTAAGCTGGTAATATAAAAAAAAAACAACAATAAAATATAGGATCAATTAAAAGCGTAGCGATGATATTATAATAATAATAGTAATAATAATGATTTGATTTTGTTAGCTGTCAATGATATCTATATATATATATAAATATATATAGCTTGCTTTTAAGGTGTTAGTTCTTGCTCGAGGTACCAGTCGAGAATTGATGGGGGTGTGTTCGTGTTTATTAATTTGCATGTTCTTTTTATTTGGTTTTATATTGTTTGCTTTTATTTCTTTCTCTTTTGTTTTTTGTTTTTTTTTTTAAATCGATGCCAACACAACAACAACAGCTCGCGAGTGATTTAATTAAAGAAAGGAAAATTGTCAGTGAGATTGCTTGAAGCTTACACACTGTTTATGATTATTACGATGTACGTACCCAATGTTGAGAAACGGATCAAGACTCGTCTGATGTATTTTAAATGGTTTCGTTAAAAATAAATAAGTGTAATACAACACACACATATATGTATATATAATCGTTTAGTTTCAATCGTTGCTTTGCAGAAAGTTGATAAGATTTGTATTACATAAAAACAGGTACAAGAGTATTTTAAATTTGATTTCATTTATCTCATAAGAGAGGATATACAACATTTTTTGTCTGTTTAATATTTAAAAGTCAATGATTATTTTGTATCTCTAATGTTAAATGATAACACGTCGTGTTATTATAATTTTTTTCTTTCTTTTTCTTTTTCATATTTTTCGTTGATTAGACCGCATGATACCGTAGATCCTAGTTCTTTATACTTTGTTCAATTTTCGGTATAAATCGTATTCGTAAAATGATTAAATTTACGAAAATTTGTCGCGTTAGCGCGTGCGTGAAATTATTAAATGCAGAGATAAATCGGTCAGTCTTATCTTTCAACTTTTTTTGAAATTTTTATTCAACCGTGTCCCTATTTATCTTTATTATTTTAAATATAAATATATATATCATAAAAATTCAGTCCTAATCGTTCAATTATCTCTCTCTCTCTCTCTTTCTTTCTTTCTATCAAATTATTTTTAAATTAAACAAAAAATATTATCAAAGCAAGCTGCCAATCGTATTTTCCGTACGATATAATCCAATTATATATTTAAGAAAAAAATTTGGCTTTAGTTTTCTTTTTTGATTATTACTAGTAAGGACTACCATCATCATCATCATCATCATCGTCATCATCATCCCTAAATATGATATAGGGGTTGTTTGTGACGTTTGTTACATGAGTAAGACTAAATCGGAAGTTGGTTGAGCCGGTTGATTGTTGCTCTCGGAGACGGAGAGCAGACGAATAAGTTCCTCTTCTTGGTCGGACACGAACCAATCAGAATCGGAGCCGCCTAGGTCGCTCAGTGGCACGAATTGTTGCTGCAGCTGTTGTTCTAATACCTAGCCAGATCGCCCAGACCAAAAGTCGTCAATGAAACGTCTTTATCAAAGTCCACCATAATGTTCAGAAATATTGTGACACAAAAAAATTAGAATATTGTTACTGACACGGCTACTAACTAAAAGAGTGGGGTGGGGGGACATCATTGGATTGTCGTTCTTCTTTATTAAGAAAAATAAAAAACATAAAAAAAGAAAAATAAATGAAAAGAGAGAATGTAAGAGTAGAATAAGAATAAAAGCGATTAAATTGATTGTAATTCTTTTGTTTTCTTTTTTTTTTTTTCAGCGAAGAAAAAACAAAATGCGTATATAATATAATCGCGCGTTACGTTTGTTTTTTTTTGTTTAAGATTAACAAACAATATAATAATATATTTAGGCAAAACAACTACTCTTTTGTAAAGATGCCAACACACATCAAATAATTACGCTTACGTTGATTCAAGGTGGACTTTAATGGCGTTCGTTATTACGAATTTTGGTCGAGACGACATTTATACGCGCGCGTATCGTTTTTTTCTAACCTATTATATTTTTCTACATATATATATGTATTGATTTTTATGTAATTTTTTTTTTCGAAAGTTATACGCGAATAAATTTTTAGTGATATATTATATAAGATCAATGAAAACAAAAATAAACTATCGTAAATTAGTTAGAAATGAGATAGATGATGAAAAAGATAAATATGTGTAAAGAAAAGATGTCAATTAAAGTCCACCCCAAAAATGTGTGTAAGAAACGTGATAATAATATAAAGCATCGTCATAGTTAGTATTGGTGACATTGATTAATTATTATTAATGTATTTCGCGTGCGTTAATTTTGTTAAAAAGAAGAAAGAAAAAAAAAAAGAAAACGCGAACGTCGATGGATGCAATTAGTCGATACACCTGACGATTGATTTTTTGTTCGTAGTTTCAGTTTTTGTTCGGTTATTTTCCCATTTACTACTTTCGTTAGATCGTTAGATCAACATACACATAAACGTGCTGTTAGAGTGAACCAAAAGTTCGTACGTATATTGTATTGTTGTTTCAGATATAGTGCATTTTTTTCTAAGTCAATAAAAATTTACTGCGAGTGAAATATTAATATAGAAAAAAAAGAAGTATAACTTTAAAAAATAAAACGTACGAACTTCTTTTTTGTTCACCCCAATGGATTAAAATATCGTTTAATAAAGAAAACATTGTTTTAGTCACAGATTTGTCTGAGTTTCCAATGCACCCTACTTCCTTTTGGAATATCGTTAAATAACATTCCACGTTAGGATGCGTGTCTCTCTCTCTCTCTTCTCCTCGACAAAGCTGCAGGCTCCAATAAAGTTAACATCGAATAAAGCGAGAAACATCAATAAGTTTGCTAACTAGTCCTCGTATTTTGTACTCTCTTTCATTAGGTGCAAAATCATTATATTATAATAGAGTCACAAACATAACGGAAAGGCATGAGAAAGTACAGAAAGATATTATTGTCAGATTATCTTCTTACCTTAGCAGAATCCTTCAAATGTGCCATGCTTGGATCGTTGATGGGTTTGCCGCTTGCAGCTTTGGTCGCGTGTATCAGATCACCTAACGCAGATGCAACATCTTTTACCGCGTTGATAAGCATCACCTGAGCTTCGGGATTTTGACTGCCGAGACTGGCTGCACCGTACTTCACCACTTCTGCTAATTGAACGATCGTAGATACTGCATTTTGCGCTGCTACGGCAAGTTGTTCTTGTGAAGAAGCTGCACCAGCAACCAATGTCTTCGTATCTTCCACCAAAGCTTTTGCAGTTTTCAAGATATTTTCACGATGATCGGCAAAGGTGTCACCTTCGTTTTCGGCGTGCAAAGTACCGGCAGTAGCGAACATTATGGTTGTATCTAAGTCACCGATTATACCGGATACCGTACTGGCTGCATTAATGCACGCCTGTGTACCACGTGAACCAGCCTGAAGTGCAGCCAACACTTGGGAAACTTTTTCCGTAACGATTTTGCTGTGCTCGGCTACTTCCCGTTGAATGTATACGTCACCTAAAGACATTTGACAAGTTCCCGCGGCACGTACGATGTCGATACAGGTTTGTCCAAGTTCTTGAACACCTGTTCTTAATCTGGTAGAAACGTCAGCGTTCGAGGCTGCAGCCGATGCACCTGAAGTATCACGAGCGAGTTGTGTATATTTGTGTGATATGTCAACGGCAAGGGGTCCTAATCTTGCTACGTCTGTACTAGATTTTGTCGACTGTGAAAATCAAATGAATTATATTAGAATTGTATTCGTATGTGATTAATGATATTAAGAGGATAAATTTCTTACCATTTCTTGGGCAAGTCGTGCAATTTCTTTGGCCGCCTCGACCATTCTCGTTTGATAATCAACATAAGAGTCAACCGTATCAATTGTAGACATTCTATGATCTTCCAATCTGACCATAGCTCGTGAGATAGTATCGATCAATCCTGTTACAATTCCGTTAGATGTCGAAATAGTTTCCAATGTGTTCTGCAATTCGTGTAATGCATCTTTCATAGATTCGACAGTTTCATCAACTTCTGCGTGGAGAGAAGTTGCATTAGGATTTCCTCCGGATTCTTTGGTAACGTATATCAATTGTAAGGCTGATTCAGCTACGGTTTTGGTCTGGTCTAGTAATACCATTTGTTGTTTCGAATGTACCATATTTGATGCGGCCCCAATGGCACAAGATACCAAGGGCTCGCAATACAATGCAACCTGATTTACGGAATGTCCAACATTTTCAGCTTCGTATTTCGCAGCATTGCGCAACGGTTCCAATTTCTCGCGCAATTCGCTCGCGCTACTTTCCATTTGATCGGTGAAACCTTGCACGGTGTTATCGCGTCGTGGCATTAAAGCTTGGGAAACGGCGCTCAATGATGCGGTATCCAATTCGCGTATTCTAGCTGAAAGCTTTTCTATACCGGCCTCGCATTCCTTTTGACCCGGTGCTTTGTCGCGTATTGATGCAACCAACGACTTGATCGAATCGCTCACGTTCTTACTGTTGTTGGCTAACAATTGCCAAGTTGGCGGATCTTTCGGCGATATGGCCAAACTTTTCGCAACTTGTACCATTGCGCAGGAACCTTCGATAATAGCTTTTCCAGCACTCGTGATTGGTTCTTGCGCTGCCCTAGCGGCAATGGATATTTTAGCTGGTTGACTAGCGAATTCCGGGGAACTCGCAAACGTGCAGAGATTGTCAATAGCTTCCAAAAGTGGTTTCACAGCTTCCGCACATTTTTCACGATTAATCTCAGAATAATTACGATCTAGTGCCTTTATTTCGTTGACCAATGAAGCTGTGGCGTTGGCGACATCTTTCGCGGATTGTACGAAATGACGTTTGGCAACTGGGTTGCTGGTTTTACTGGAAGCTTGACGACAAGCATTGCACAATGCACTGGTATGTTTAGCTATCATCGTAGTAGCCGATACGACTTGTTGTTGACTACTCGTTGGATTACCGAGACTTTGACAACCCGTATGAATGGCTTGGGCAGCCCTCAGAAATTGTGCCTGATCAACGAGGCCAGGTTTTCCAGCGACAGATGTTGGATCGCTAACTCCTACCAGATATGCCGCTTGAGCAGCAGCTTCGATCAATCCACAAATCGATGATGAGACTCCTCTGACAGCTACGGAAAACTGTTCGTGTTCCGATTTCTTAGCATGATTTGCTATACCCGTCATACCATCTCCAAGACTCTTACTCTTTTCCATGACGATTTCTAAACACTCGAAGTAAGACGCATCGGAAATAGGCTCGCTGGGATTATCCAAAAGTGATGCCATCGATTGAATATTTCTGATAGCGCTGTCGCATTCGTTTTGTCCTGGTGCCGCTGAAGTGCATACGTCGACTAAATAATTGATAGAATCAGTTACCGCTCGGGCAGCAGCAGAAAGTTGGTTCTTGGCATTTGGTGCACTAGGATCGGCGGCCACTGATTTAGCTGTTGTCAAAAGTTTGCTCGAAGTCATGCTCACGTTTTTCAATGAAACCACCATTTGGCTTCTGGTTTCTACGGTGGTCTGACTGGCCATCTCCATACCAACGCCTAATAGATCTCCAAAGGCATTAGAAAATTGTTTGGAAGAACTTGCCAATTGTACGGGTGAACGAACCGATGATACGACGTCCGAGGAAGCATCGTTCAAATTGGCAGCTGCATTGTTAAGATCGCTTTGCAATTGTCTGTACAAAAAAAAAAAGAAATGAAAAGAATAAAAAAAAAAAAACAAGAAGATGAAAAGAATAATTACATTAATGTTGCAATATATTATTCCGGTGCACATTCATAGTTAAGATAAAACTTTTACACGTGCAGTTATTTCTCGAAGGTAGATAATAAGTAGAACGAGGACAATAAGTATTTATCAGTTAAACATAAGGCCGTATAAAATTCCGATAAAAACTTACCCATAATTCTTATCAGTTTGAGGAAACTCATTCATATTAAGAACTTGACTCATGTCGTCTATCGTACGAATGGCATCGTCTACGTCTCTCTGACCAGGTAAACAAGAAACGCATTTGTTCAAAGAATGGGACACTTCTTTGGCGACGGCAGCTAAATTGGCTTTATTTTCTGGATTATCTGGATTTTTCAATGCTCGTCTGGCTTCTTGTACGAGATGCAGCGATCGGAAAATGACGTCGTCCGCGGTCATTAATACTTTTTTCTGTGTTTCTGGTTGATTGGACGTTGCAGCAACACCACGAACGGCATACGTAAGATCTTTTAAGGCCGATGCTGTTTCCCTAGCGGCACTTCCAGTGTAATTTTCGTTTCCTTGTTTTGCAGCTGATAAAAGTTGCGCCATAGCATAGCCGACATTTTTAGAAGTCGAACCAAGTCGTAACGCAGTAGTTTCCGTAGTTTCTTCGGGTAATGGTCTCAAGGAAGCAGCTTCTACAGCTTGATAAAATTCTTTTAATTCGTCCTTCAAACTATTTATCAATTCTTCGGCAGCATCTAATTCTAATCCACCGCAAGCATCCCTGGCACGTGTAACAGCTGATCTTAAGTCAGCCAATGAAGAACCAAGTTGTTGAGAGGTATGATTCAATTGCATTGCCGATGCTTGATCGTTAACCGTAGGTATGACAGCTCTGGCAGCTTTAATTACGGCAGTACCCGGTTGCAAAAATTGTTCCGCGGCGTTAATCAAATTTAATTGGGCAGTAGGATTGTCCGGTTGAGCTTGCGTACCTTTTACTCCAGCGACCAAATGTGGTATATGTTGTGCCATTAATCTACACTCGACGTTTAATTCCTCTTGACTCGCGTGATTCGTATTGTGGTGTACCGCTCCGGATGTAGCAGCGATGCACTGTGTTGCAGTTGACGCCGCTTGTTTAGCGCAAGCTTCCAAACGTACGATTAATTTTCTACGCAATGCAGGAGTTGCCGCGACCGTGGTCGCCGTTCTCAATTCTTCGGCAGCTTGTCTGAGTTGATCTTGCATTTTGGCGTCGTGCGGACTGCTCGTACATTGTCTGGCAGCTTCGACCATTTTCGCGGTAGCGTCGGCTAATATTTTCGCGGCAGCCAAAAGACGTCGCTGTTGTTCGGGATCGGATTGTTTCTCGGCTTCACCTTTGATACTTTGAATCAATTGTGCCGTAGCTTGGCCAACGACCCTGGCCTGCCTGACCATTTCACCGGCATCTCCTGTGCTAGCGAAAAGTTTATCGGTTGCTACGAAAATCGTTTCAACTGCACCTTCCTGAATGGATTCCTTCGCTCGTTCACCTCTAGTTGCTGTTTTAATATGATTCAAAAGATCGTTCAACGTTCTACTGACTTCGCTTGCCGCTGTACTCAATTCTTTCAACAAGTTTTCATCGTTACAGGTCTCGTTACATACATCGACCAAACCCTCGACAGCTTTCGTTACTTCTCTAACTGCGTTCATCAATTGCGTTTGACACGCAGGCGAGTGCAAAGTAGGTGCAACTACTTTAGCGCAAGCTACCAATTGCGAGGTGGCCAATGCGCATTGAGTCGCAGCCGATATTACTTTGTTTTGAGTAGCCGAATCCTCGCAAGTAGCCGCGATGTTTTTCGCTTTCAATACCAAAGCTGCAGTCGTATTGGCTACCGCTTTCGCTAATGCGAGCAACATATCTTGCAATTCGCGATTCGAATCATTTTCCTCGCCGATGGTGGTCAATACTTGATGAGAAGCCTCGCCAACTCGAGATGCAGCGTTCAACAAGTTCTGCCTTGGCTGAAAATGAAAGTCAATCAAAATTAGTCCAAAAAAATCAATCACTTGTCAAAACTTATGTTATTACAAATAACACAGAGACGTAAAACATTAACATTTGAAATAAATATTAATTATCGACAAATTAAATATTATTTATCGCGAATTTAATTGCTTACGTATTGTCCATATAGAGTAGAAGTTATGTAGAAAGGCTGCAGGTAACAGAATAATATTTCATTTTTGTATCGATCAAAGGACAAATACCGACATCATTATCATCATCATCATTAAATAAAATGACATTGTATTTCATATTTATTTTCTACTATCGTTTATACTTATTGTGACCATCCAAATATCATTCGAAAGAACAATTAAACTTACCTCTTTAGTTTCCGGTTCTGTTGCCTTAAGTAGATCAGAAAACGCTGAACATAATTTTCTTGCCGCGTCGAGCAATCTTTCTCCGGATGATTCGTCATCCATCAATGCAGCTATCATTCTTACGCCTTTCGTCATTTCAGGAAGATTCGTGGCTATGGTTGTTATTGCTGCACCAACTGCAGTATGGTCGACGTCATCCGCTGGGCCCGAGGTCAACGTTACAACTTGTGCCGTAGCAGCGTTCATTGCTGCGATCTGCGAGCCTACGTTTTGTTTGTGCGTATCTATCGTTTGTTCGATCCATTTTAGGGATGCTGGATCGGTACCGAGTTCTGGTAATTGTGCTTTAGAAGATAATTCCGTTTCTGCGATATTGATCACCTCGTAACCAGCTGTTATCGTTGATAGTAAGGCACGTTGTGGTTCCGATAGGACGGATGTTACTTTTGTCTGCTGTACCTGTATGTGTTTTTTGTTTTGTTTTTTTTTTGTTTTTTAACAAAAATATTTTACATCTCGTTAGAATTTCGTCTTTTTGACATTATAAGAGAAGCGTTTATATATATTTTAATTTTGTTCTTTTTTATTTTTTCTACTTAATTTTCATCGCGAATATACGCGACACAAAAGTTTATCCCGTGTTAGAATTTTTTTTCTGTTTTTGTTTTTTTTTTGCGAGCAAACAAATCGAACACTGCGTAATAAAAAAATAATAATAAAAATAATCGGATGCATGCACGATAAATAAATCGTAATGTAAATGGAAGTAAACAATATTTGACGATGATTTTAATTCGATATTTTCGTTGAATAACAAGCGGAGTTGCGGAACTATAATGTAAATCAATGAATAAATTGTAATAATACGCGTATTTCGGGAAAATTAATAGAAAAATTGCGCATAACTAAAAATGGGGAAGGGGGGCGGGGCGGGGCGGGGGAGCATCGTCGTGTACCTACTCTGTGTCCGCAATAGAAGACGTCTAGCATGAAAATAAATTTAAATTTTCAGTTAGTTTCTTTAAGATTTTTCGTATGTTTCTATTGTTTTTTTTTTTTTTTTGTTAATTTAAATCTTTTTTCATTACTAACTGTTCAAATATTGAATATAATATATATCATATTCATAATCATATATAATATATCAATTGGGTACTTCCTGTATAATCCATGTGTATGCATGATGCTCTTCACCTAAGTTATGATGTGTAATTTATAAAACACAGAGTAGCTGCTCTGCTAACGCGAACCATCAACAACAATTACAATAAAATTGGAACCGAGATGGTTTGATTGGATTTATCGAAAAAAAAAAAAAAAAAAATCAAATCAACGATTGAAGAATTTTAGCCTAAGCTTTTTCAAAAGAAAGAAAGAAAAAAAAAATTAAAATAAAAGAAAAAAAAAAAAGAAAAGCTTTCTCTCGAAATTTCTTTCTAACGTTCTTACCATTGGTGGTGCATGTGCGATGTTGACTTGTCCGCTGACGGTTGTATATTGAGCGCCACCCATGTGACCAGTCCCATATGGTCGAGCCCCTATAAATTTTTTTTTCATGCAGTCTAACCTATGATCTTTTGTCCCATATATACAATGAACAATTTGTCAGCAGTCTATGGTTGTTGTGTTGTACATTATCGTGATATACAATTCACATCCTTCAGTTGAGAAAAAATTATATAATAAAAATAAAAAAAAATAAAATAAAGTAAAATAAAAAAGAAAACGGAGAACTTTTTGAAAACTACTGAGAGATAATTTACTTATGAAGCCATTTACAAAAGCTAGCCTTTTTTTTTTTTTGGGCTGAAAATAGCCAACAACTATACACAATAAAAGCTTATATATTATGTACTATATGTACAAAATTATAATATATTTATATATAAAGAATTCGTACGTGCATGAATTCATTGTTTCCGATTGAAATATTTTTGGAAACATAGAGTAAAGAAAAATAAAAAGAAAATAATTAAAATAACAATGAAACGCGTAATCGCTAATAAATACGTTTAATCGTATTATTAATATAACGCTAATTTCTCTAACTATGGGACATCGACTGTATTGACCAATTTTCAATAATGTTCATAATTTTTCATTGAACTTACCATCACCACCGGCTCTTATAACTGCAGGAATTGCTACCGAAACAGCTTCAACGTTTCCTTTTCCAACGTTGCTAGTCTCGTGTTGCATAATTGTTGCTCTATAAATAAATAAATAATAATAATATTAGTTAACAAAAATAATATCTGATTTTTCGTCAAGTTTCTTACTTTTTCATGGCATTAGAAGTAAGCCACTTTTCATGTTCGTATTTTTGTTTTCTCAAAAATTGTTCCATTTTATTTAAACCGATTTATCATACACCGATACACTCGAATATGTTACACTAATAATGACAGAATATTCTGAAGTATTATTACGATCTTCTCACTATTCCTAATCGATTATGACATCATCAAACTTGCTAATTTTTCTTGTTAATATCAATTATGATATATTCTACTTAATAAAATTGATTAACACGTTTAAATGTAAAACTTACTTCAATGGTGATACGCTATCTTCGACCATAGTTGATCCTTCGTCTCCTTCGATACCGAAATGATCTTTGCCCTTTTGTTTCTTCAAAATAATATCGATATAACCAGCGATAAGTTGTAATATTTGTTCAGCTTCTGTAGTTTGTACGCTGTAATATTGATCGGAATAATCTCCGAAATCAAGGGTGAACGTGTTCGGGGAAGCTCCCCAACGTCGAACTGTCGTCAATGGCCAAGTTTTTAAAATTTCTTTAGTCTTTTCGTCCAATCGTAATACCGAATCTTTCGTTACACCGAGCAAACGTGGCACGAGTTTATTTTTACCCTTCATCTTTTCTTTAACCAAGAAAAATGTTACCCCATAAGTACTCAGTGATCTGGCAGTTTTCGTATACAAAACTTTGGCATCAAGTTCGGACAAACCAACGTGCTTTTTGTGCTCGGCAAATACTTTCTTTTCTATACCTTTTACCTTGACGTAAGATGTCGGTAAAAATTCTTTCAAACTATTAAAATAATTCATAACATTTGTTAATATATTATTTCAAATTCAAAGATATGAATTAATTTAAGATCACAATTTAAATAAACTTACTCTAAGAAACCTGGTTTATGTTTATCTTCCTTGTGATCACCGAATTGTATTTGGCATTGAATTCCTGCGAATATGCATGCCTTTTCTTGAGTTACCGGATGTGTACCATCTAAAATTGCATCCCTCGCTTGGACATACAAAAGTGATAATTGCAATGGATCCCTACTGTCGATGTTTTGATCGGAGAAGAAAAATTTTCTTCTCAATAATACGGTTTCCGATTCGTCGATACCTTGTTCGCGAAGTGTTTTACTTGGATCTATCCAATTAACTATAAAACATCAACAACAACAACATAGAATGAAATAAAACAAATTTTCTCGTTTCATCTAATACTAATAAAATTGAAAATAATTTGTACATTTTAAGTTTTATTATTTATTCATATTTTTTTGTTGGTTTTGTTTTGTTATTTAAATTTACCTTCGTCATCTGTTTTAAGTTTCTTCCTCAATTGATCCATCTTAGCATCTCTCTCACCTTTGTCCTCCTTTCTCCTTTTCAACGTGAGCGTACCAAAGTTACCAGGTTTCTGATTTTCCGTTTCTTCGTCTACCAATTCCCGTACCAAAGAATACTCGTCGTGGTTCGTAATACCAATTTTCGTGCATATAACAACCATTAAATTAGCGACAGGTTGACTGTCGTCGACTAATAATGTTTTCAATGTTCCATCCAACATCCGTACTCTTAGAGTTCGTAGTTTACGACGATATTCCAATAAATCACCATTTCTTAAGATATAATAATCGAGATTTCGTACTGGTTCTAACCAAACACCTTTCTTTACGTCTTCGTCGGCAAAGAAAAGCCCATAATCTTTAGCTAAATGCAAATTAAATTATCCTTTTTTTTTTTTTCTTCTTTCAAATTATAATAATAATAATAAAATTAAATAAATAAATAATTAAATACTTAATAAAATAATTAAATAATAATAAATTATAGAATTATCGATTATCTTATTAGAATGAATCAAAAGTTCGTGGATTTTATTGCAATGAAACTTTACTTTGGAATTTTGTTTACTTTGGAATTTTGTTTACTTTGGAAATGTTAATTAGAATCAAAAGAAAAAAAAGAAACAAATGCGCGAACTTTTGATTAACCTTAATAATATTGATTAGTCAATTAAATAATAAAATAAACTCACGTTGTCCCATGTTACTGGCCTCCGCTAATTTTTCTCTTATTATACGGCATGCATCGTAAACCGAGGTACTTGGATCGAATTGCATCATCTTCGTTGCATTTTTCTCCGGAATGGAGATGCGTAAAGATAAAGTTGCCATTGCGAATGTGTTCGCAACAAGAACGATTTTCTCTGTTTAAAATGAAATTTACTAGAGAGTCATTTTATTATTAAGTAAACGCATTACAATCAACGATCTGATTTAACGATTGAATTTAATAACCATTAGTAAGTAAATATAATGCGACAACACTGAAGTAGAAAATTATAAATTCTAGCTTGTTAATTTTCATTGAAATCATTTCATTTTTCAATAATCAAAACATTAACATCAGCAAAATTACACAAGTTTTATTTAATATAAGATAAAAAACAACAAATTTGAATTTGTTACTACGAAAGTTAAATATATGCACACCAATTTCAAAACTATCATTAATTTAACAACCGTGTCAGCTTTAATCTTTGAAATATAAATCATAAAAGTAGAAAATCGTAAATTTCTCGTTTAAAAATTCACCTCTAATATTTAATATAATTCATTTATTTTTATTTTTATTTTTTTTAAATATATAACACACAAAGCATTAAATATAATTTAATTAATGAGTTGAAATTTTCAATTAACACACAACTAAAACATATCCCAAAAGAAAAGTTATAATTTTGTTATTATCAAAATGTCCACACACGTGTGTTGCACAGTGTTGGTGTTGTTATGTTGACGACACGAGTCAACTTATACCGGAGTCAAACTATTAAAAGTTTAATGATCTTTACGTCACGTAAACCACGCAACATGTTTTACAATTAAAAGTAGTAGAAAGAGAGAGAAAGAAAGAGTAAGCAAAGGCACGCATATGAAATAGATGTGTGACGTAGTGTGGTGGTGGGTAATAAACACTTTCACGCTTCGTTTGGTTTTGCATGTGAACGAACTAGCAAAACTGGGAATAACAGGAAAAGGAGCGGACGTGCATCATATTTTAGGTGTTATTTAAACGAGATAGCAAGTTTAAACTGTCTGTGTGTATTCTAAAAATGCCGCAAGCGATATTTACAAAAAGAAAAGTTAAAAGAACACAGAGAAAAAACAAAAAAAAAAAAAAAGAGGACAAAAATAACTCACTCACTCACACTTTTTTTTTCCTTCTTCCCTTTTTGTTTATTTCTTTTTTGATACGTAATTAATTACTCGTTATTCGTTTATTGTAAAGAAATGTTGTCGATTCTTCGATTATGATATCACCAATCGGACCACTATCACACTGGAATCTATTAAATTAAAACATATAAACGAATAAATTATCGTACAGATATAAATCGATTAGAAAATATAATAAATTATTAAAAAAAGTATACATTGAGTGTGTCACCGAACGTGATGTACGTTTCAAAATAATTCGTAAGATTATATTAACATCGTATGACCAAGAAAAAATCTTGCCCGCATGGTTAAACTAAATTAACGGGACAAATGTAACGGTAAACAAAACGTTTCTTTTCTTTTTTTTCTTTTTAAATCGCATGCCTAATTGTATTTTTTTTTCTGCATTCTGATAAAGCATCAAATTTTATGTAAGAAAAAAGAAACTATTGTATTATGCAGGACTTCAAATGAATAATTGAAATTTTTCATTATTCGTTTTTATTCGTTCGAGAAATGTTTTATTTTTCGTATAAAAGCATTGTTACTCTTAAATGGCAGATAATAAAGTGAATGATCTTGAAGAAAAGAGAATAAGCGAGGAAAAGCAAGGACGTTTGCAAGTATATAATACATATACATATATATATATACTGTATAACGAAGTTATCGACATTGTACGGGCGCCGATAATGGCGTCGCGACGACTTGGCGCCATTTTCGACGCTTCACTGAAGACGACCTAAATAAAAAATTTAAAAAAATAAAAAATACACATTTTTCGAAATTGCATCAAAATTATTTTACTCACACATAAAAATATATTAAAATAACCTTAGAAGAAAAGTGCATCACAAATTGATTGTAATTATGCATTGGTGAACAAAAAATATTCGAATGAGCATGAAATTTTTTCCAGGAGTAGTTTTAATTTGGGTAGGGCTGGGGGGAGGGATTGGGCGAGAAAAGAAAGAATATTTGTTTTGGAGAAACGCAACGAGAATTTTTCTTTCCCCCCCGAGTCGTATATAAATATAATACAAACAAGCGGACTGAAAGCAGAAGCTTGTTTCATAGTTAATTTTCGTGAGAGAGAAAGATAAAATGCACGCGCGCGTATGTACAGGCTGATTCAAATAACCATAACAAGGCGTATTTTTTTTCTTATTTTGTTTGTTTTGTTTGGAGTTAGCATTAAAAAAAAGAAACAAACAAACAAACAAAAATAGGGTAGAAAAGATAAATGAGCCGTTTATTTTTAAAGTGGCATAAGTCACTTTTTTTTTTTTTTTAATTGAAAATAAAAGTTGTAATTAGTGTTGCCATTAATTCGGTTTTTTTTTTTGAAAAAGTGACTTATGCCACTTTCAAAATAAACGGCTCAAATGATTCTGGGTGGAGCACCACACGATCATATTTTATTCGCGAATGTAATATCGCATGATGTCAAATTTACCGATCATATTTTATTCGCGAGTACGATATTGCGTGTGAATTCTCAATCATATTTTTTTGCCCCCGCATAGAGAAATATTGCAAGGATGCGTGCGAACGAACTATGATCGTGAATACGTAGTCCCCCCAACCAGAACTAGAACACCATACGTATTTTTCTTCCAGTATTGGGTTTTTTTTAAACTTTAAAGTAAACACAAAAATAAATCGCAAGTTTTACAGTCGTTCGAATCGATGACATTTAAAAAAAGAAACAAAATATCTCGTCAATTGATCATTTTACTTGCGTGTTTTTTTTACTTTTTTTTTAGAATGACGCAACGAATGATTGCAACTTGCAAGAGAAAAAAATGTATTTTATACATGTACAATGTATTTATTGTACAAATATATTTTTATTTTATTTTAGAAAAGTTTTTCTATGTCTTGAAAAATTTGGTTCTAGCTTAAACAAAAAAAAAAAAGAAAAAGAAATGAAACATCAGGGTGAACCAAAAGTTCAATGTGTTTATTATGTTGTTTTGAATAGTGCAATTTCTTTTTAAGATCAATAAAATTATTTTACAATATGCAAATGAAATAAATATTGATAATAATTAAAACACGAACGAACGAACGAACAAACTTTTGGTTTATCTTAATAATATATAGCTCACACATTTTACGGTAGCTTGAACAGCCAGTAGTTTGAACGTAAATACGTGTATCTGCCTTGCGGACACTCGACATTTACCAGAGAGGAAAGAACAGAACAGTGTGCTCTTTAAAAGCGTATATGGTTTTAACCTCTTAAGTGGAGGCGACGAGCATGCTCGTGGAACACAGAAGCATGCATGCATACTTTCGTTGAATGAGTATGATGATGGATGTATCCTCATCACGCATAGACTACCGATTGCTATTCCGCCTGTGTAAATCACGAAAGACAGTGTCTTCAAGAGAGAGAAAGAGAGAGAGAGAGACAGTTAATTATGGCAAAATTCCTGCTAACTTCTTCCTTTTCACGTGCATTGTTAATAACACTCGTTAAAAATGTATGTTTATTTATTGTATTTCTTTGTTTTTTTTTTGAAATATTTCTATAAGAATAATATAAGTAATAATAAAAGTATAGAATTCTAAAGAAAACCAGTAACGTGTGTTCAGAATAGTACCATTTATTTCCTTTTATTGAGATAAAACTGTAGGAATAAAAGTACTTAGAAAACGTAAAAGCAATATTTCAATTTTTCCGACAATTTAAATTTTTCATTTAATTTTATGTCTCTTTTTTTTCCAGCTTTTTTCATAACGGCAATCTAAAAGCATGAATAAATTCAAGTGACACAAAATTATAGACGATATTGTCTCTTTTATTAATTGCATTGCAGTATTAAGCTGCACTTTTTCATGATAAATAAGAACATTCATTCATTCGTTCATTCGTTCATTCGTTCTTGAGTTTTACTACTAATAATAATTATCAATGGGAAGATTACGTTTTTCCAAATCAAATATTAATAGTATTATTTTTATTCGATTTTCATTCATTCGTTGAATAATTTTGAAACATTGACATATGATATATGGTACTGTATAATAAGTAAAAGAATAAAATCAATATAACAGCTAATAAACGTTCTACTTGTTTCAATCTTTCTTCATTAATAGAACCGATAAAATATTTCAAGTCTAGTGTATTTTCTTTATCGAATACGAGGGGCAAAGATCAGACGTATACGGATGATCGTAATAAATAAAGAATTGCATAAATAACTGACTCGAGCGAACCGATTTAACTAACTGATTCTAAACAAAGGGTTGAGAATAAATGTTGGCAACCAATAAACAATGTCTCAGGATTTTCAATATTTTAAAAATCTAAGGTGTCAACAAATATTATAATATATTCAATAATTTTCATGAAATATTATTTATCAATCAAGCTAATATAATGAAATATTATAGAATACTATAAATTTCGAAATTACTTATTGACCAATCAGAATAACGACACAGACAAAAATGTGTTCAGACAATTGGGTATAATAAATATGCAAATAATATGCAAATGAAGAATGGTTTGCACGATGGTTTAAAAAAAATTGATCTCAAACGACAACTCATTGTCAGTGTCTGTTCCCATCTTGTCCTCGAAATGTAAACGGAGCGTGTCTTTAGAATAAATATCTCTTCTACGATGATATCAAATCGGCACACGATTATGCATCATCGTTGGCAGTGAGTTCTGAATTTAACAAGATGAACATAGTTAAATTCTTCTTTGAATCTTACGTTATAACATTCGTGGAAAGCTTACGTATACATTCAAAAGTATATATACATTTAAAGGTATATACTTTTGAGTCTGCTGTGTGGATCTAATTACATGTTCGTACGTATATGTGTGTATGTGTTTTACGTATATGTAATAGAATGTAGCATTGTTCCACTTACGTACGCGAATTTTATTCTCTTATTACCATTTTCTGTTTCAAACGTTTTCATGTATGATATATGTGTTATACTTATGTATATATACGTGCATACATAGTAAACACATATGTTGCATGTATGTTAGATACTATACTCATGCTTCTATTTATAAGACTTAACACCGGAACTTGACTTTCTGTCTGCACGAAACTCTACGAATTTACGCAATAATGTTTTGTCACCTTTTTTTTATCTCTTCGTCATTTCAGGATGTTTGGAAAACGTGGTCGAGAAAATAAGAATGCAGAATTAAAAGTATTTAAACGAAAACTAATGTATATGTAAATTTAAAACTGTAGTTATCTTTTATCATGGTATATGATTAAATATTTGGAATTATTTATCTGCGTTTATCTTTTGAAATATATAAATGTATATATTCATTTAATATTAAATAATATGATTTCAATAAGTAGAACAAATGTAAGATAAATTGAAATAATTATTGTTATTTGTTGTAGTATAAGAAATTTCTTTGTAAGAGCATTGTCTTATCGTTTTGTTACATTTCTTATTATTTGATTTTTGCAGTACTTTTTTTTCCTAGATATATATTTTTATCATAAGTATGATAATATTTTAGTTAACGGTCATGGTGCAGTGACAGTACTAGTTCCCGCTCGATCATTAAAGTCAAGCAGCGCTGGGACACAGTTTAGTATTTGGATGGGTGAACCGCGCTTTTTTAGGAATACTGTGTGCTGTTGACGCAAAGACTCAGTCTAGTTAATATCTAAAGCTGGTCCCAAACCCCATATAAAAAGGGGTTCGAGGGTGAGGCTTGGCAACTTACCCTCGGTAAAAACAATAAATCGTTCTTAGAAAAATAGCAATAAAAAAAGCTATTATAACAGAAAAAAGTCTCTAATAAAAAAAAAGGAAGATAATTAATATTTATTTGTCGTGTATCAAATAATAGTTGATTTTAATTATCTGTAAATAGTATAGACTTTAAATTACTTAAGTTATGTTTGTAAATCTATAAAATAGAAAAAACCTAATAGAAAAAATGTAAAATTAAAAAAAAAAATTCAAATACGTACTCAGAATGAAGAACTTTTAATTGAAGTTCTCTCTTATCTTCCTATATTTGCTATATCCAATATACATCCACTCATAAAATAAAAACTTATATCAACAAAAAGATAACTTACACACAGAAAAACACAATAATAAATCACACACACAATCACGTTTTCACAATCAATTTCTCTCACACAAGCATCCGTTGTCATTCATTTTAAGATCACAAAAAAGACACGAGGTATAGACAAAAATAAATGTTAGAAAATAAATATACAGTGTGATCCAGAGAAACGTAATAAGACTCCTCCACGACTCAACGAGATTAAGAAGAAAAAGAAGAAGATAAATAATAAGAATAAAATTAAGAAGAAGAAGAAGAAGAAGAAGAGCTGTCAATTCACCACGGTACTGTTGTGAATCATGTCTATTTCGGGAAACACCCGTTGGATGTCCCTCTGCTCCCTCATACAGTTACTATATGTATGTTCCATAATTTTGAGGTTAGTTCGTTCCAAGTAAACGAAATTAGTAATCAAAATTCACAATAATAATAAATTACAAGTTCACAAAGGACATATGAATATAAATTTTGTCGCGTTGCAATGATTTAAATATATATTTTTTTATTTTCGAAACCACAAGGAATAAAATATCATCGAAAAAGTTAGTAGTACGCCCATTTGTTGAAGTTTCTCTCTCCAGTTGAAAACTAACCGAATCGAACGAATAATTCGAATTAATTCGAATTTAAATATCATTAAAGTGGGGTGGGGGGAGGGGAGAGATCGAACGAACTAATGGAAGTTAACTGTTACTCACTGTTTATAACTAGATCCACAAAACACGAAAGGGTCCTCTCTCTTTCTAGTTTTTTTTCTTATTTTCTTTGCAGATATTTAACTCGCCAACTCTGAACCACGACAGACAAGTCCGACGACAACACTCGCGACTCCGCCGTTCCGGTTTCGATCGTTCCTGGCCTTCTGGCATCAGGAGCGGCACGAACGTTACGTTTTGGTGGTATCTTTGGCACCCTACTTACTTTCGTAATAACATTGGAGTTGTTTTCTTTTCATTTCTATCATAAGAATTTTGATAAACTCAAAATATACTTTTGTAATATTATGTAAAGTAATTCACGATGAAATATATGTTGACATTTAAATATTTTTTTACGATATTAACGCATCGAAATTATTGTCAATGCGTCATTCTTCTGACTCAGTCATTATTCAAAGAAAAATATCGTACGTATATTACGATATATGTATTGTATTGTAATAGTTATACGCGTTTTTAAACGAACGTGAGTTCGTGCTCAAACCTTCGTTATATTCTTTTTTCAATTTTTTTTTTGTTTTTTTAAATATTTTCTCTTACTCACACAATTTTAGTCAAATAAAATTGATCGTCGATTTGTAAGAAGAAAACTAGATCTGTGTGTATTATAAAAAAAATCATCATACATCACTGCGAATATACAAATAGCTAATTCAAATAAACATTGTTCGTATGGAGCTTCGGTAAAAAGGGAATTGCACGTGTCGTAAAACATTAGCACAACGTTAAACTTATAATCAATTTGTACGAATAGAAATCTTTGAAATAATAAAGAACAATAAATAATCGTTGTCTTAGAAAAAGATAAAAGAAAAACAAAAAGAAAACGGTTATTGGTTAGTTAAACGTTAAAGTATCTCTCGTGGCAGCGATAAAAAGATGTTTCCCGTGCGTTAGAACGAACGAAGGAAGGAAAACCATTCCGATGGTCTTTTTAAAAAGAATGGCGCGCGATCGAGACCGCGCCAAATTTGGTCATGGCGGCTTTCATATAAAGAGAGAGAGATAGCTTGGTTCCGTAGCACGCAATGATGCAATGTAAAGTTATACCGTAACCAGTTTTCTACCTCGTCCTTTCCTAATATTTCTTTCTTTTCCCGTAACTTTTTGTTTGTTTTGTTTTTTTTTTTTCTATTCAATTTATTATTTTTTCTATACACAATTTCTCAAAATTTTCGAAATTTCATATTGTTCTCGTAGTAACGACTACGTGATACATGTACAACAAACTTATACATGAAAAATAACACGAATATAGGTACCGTGCTTAGTATATTCGATCTTATGAAACTCAATCAAGATGCAAAAGACGCGATAATGGCACGTTTGCGTTTTCCGGTGATTATTCGTGCACCTCGAGGATGTACGCGGTCGCATTATGGACTTCCTGTGGGTAAGTTATGACAAGGAAGTCCGTTAAATCATTTTCTTTATCTAAATAATTCATCTAACTCTTTTTTTTTTTTTTTTTCTTTTTATTCTTTCTTTTCCCCTCAAAAAATAATATCTAAAGTAGAAGAAAACTTTTGATATATCGCGTCGGAATTATTTGGTTTTATTTTTTTGTTTTGTTTTTTTACTTTTTCTTTTTCTTTTTATTTCTCATTACTCTCACGTATCATCCCACAATGAAATTCGAACATTCGTGAAACACATTTTACTACGTAACGGTACGTCGTCCTTGAATGAAGATCTCAAACAGTATCACACATGTGATACAACGATCGGAAAAGAATGTCGCGTAAATTGACAAGTTCGAGTATGGTTGTCCGTGATTATTCTATCGTTTGCACATTCCATGCATACATCATGATACGTAGGTGATAAAACAAGGTTAAAAATTCGAACGTTTTAACATTCAGCTCGTATCATAACTAGCAATGACTGATTTCCGGCTTTAACGGCAACATATATACAAATAAGTAATACTATTTATTCAAATAGAACGTTTAAATTGAATTAATTGAAAAAAAATTATCTACAGACGTATAGATATTAAAAGAAATATATCATATACCCCGTGTATAATGATACATAATGGGTTTGTCAGGAAAATTCACGTAAAATTTATAAATATATAATTTATACAAATATATCATCTCATCACACGAACTTTTTTTTAGGATATTTCAATACTTACATATAGAAATATATTGGATTGAGTAGAAAGTTTCTTCGTATTTTTTTTTTCTGATAGATCATTTACAATACGATCGCATAACTTCGATGATATTTAATAACCAAACGAAACTTTATACTCGAACCAATTGTATTAAAGTAGACCAACAAGAGAACACAGAAAAACAAAAAAAAGGAGAAAAGGCAGTATCATGTATAAGTTGACAATCACTTTTAATTGTTGCAATAGAAAAACAATGTACAGACGCAGAATTATTCGTATCTAACGTGTGACGAAAATTCCTAGGTAAAATCTTAATCGGATAGTGTGAAAAATCAACTAAAATAGGTTCAAATAATACACTTAAAGGAGTGTCTTATCTTGTTTTCACTTTACCTATTCGCTTATCGGTTAAGTCGTTTATCTAATTACAATGATTGAGTTATTAATTATAATTATGTCTCTTTATAGACACACAGGTGTGTATGTAAGTAAATGGAGATTCTTAAATGCTACACAATGTTTTCATTTATTTTTTATTTTATTATTTTCTTTTTTTTCTTTCTTTCTTTACTTTGGTTTTAAATTAAGGACTAGTGTTTTGAGCTTCGCTCTGTCCTTATGTATTTATTTATATATATTTATGTATAATATATATATATATATATGTATATGTGTGTATTTTTAAGTATGGGGGAATTTTTATCAACGTAAATTGCAATTTAAAAAGTCGCTCGATTTGTTTTACTTTTTTCCCGTATCAAAAAACAAAATTATTTTATGGATTCGATGTTGAAATACTTTGTATATATAAAAAAGAAAGTAGAATAGTAATGATAACGTTTATATTGGAATGTGATTATCGTTTGTGTAAATCGCGACAAATTAATATTGTATCGAGGTTAATATAACACTTCGTTCTATAATAATAATAATAATAATAATAATAATAATAATAATAATAATAATAATAATAATATAAAATGAATATGATGACATAATAATCGATATAAATTGTAAATGCAGCACAATATTACGGAATAATTTTTTCTTACATATTATTAATATATATAAAAAGATCTAATAATATTTTATGGTGCGATGAAGGCACAAGGCGTGTGTTTATTAAATCTTGTGCGAATTGCAGTGAATAACGGCACGCAATGGGTGAATTAATGTGTGGTGGTGGTGGTGGTGTTGGGGGATGAGAGAACAGAGGGATCAATGTAGATGTAAAAAATAACAGAAATACTTATTATTAAACAAATAGGATTGTTGCATTATTTTAATGCAATATTGCATAATTATCAATGCGTTCGACTCGTGATAATAAAATTATATCCGTGCGAGAGATAAAAGATGAAGAAAACAAAAAGTGGGGTTGGGGGGGTGTGGGCGGTAGATGTCGTTAGGGTACTGGGGTAGTTTTAAAAAAAAAAAAATAAAAAAAATTATTAACAATACATACAGGACAAGCGGAGCTCATAGAATAATGTGTGTATACCATTTAGAATTGGAAATGTAATTTAGAATTAGAATGTAAAAATACTATGTATTATGTACAATTAATTAATTATACCAATCGTGGTGAATATATTTAAATTATTTTACATCGTCACTTTTTTCTTTTCTTTCTATTTATTTATTTTTATTTTTTTTTTTTTTCATCGTGTCATCGTCATCGTCATCATCTTCTTCTTCTTCTTCTTCTTTTTATTTTTCTTCTTCTTTTCTTCATCTTCTTCTTCATCTTCTTCTTCTTCTTCTTTATCTTCTCATCTTCATCGTAGTTGATTTTCTTCTTCCACTTTTTAATTCATGTTTTATTTCTATATAATACCCCTTCGCGTATATTATTTTATTTTTATTTTTTGTTTTTTTTTTTTTATTTTTCTTCGATCGAAGAGCAGTATTTTAATTTTGCCCACTTTTATTTTATTTTATTTTATTTTCACAAAATGTGCCATTGTAGCACACTTAAAAACGATATAATGATTGTTTCCTTAATTTAAATATATTTTACACATCGTCCCTTAACTATCATAAATCTTTCATCGAGTCGTATTAATTATTTCATTAATCGTTTCCTTTCTTTATTTCTTTTTTTTTTTTAGGGGTTATTTTTTTCTTTTTGTTATTCTTAATATTGCACATCGAAGTGCCAATTTATTTTTTTTTTCGACAGCATATTTTTTGTTTAACGATAGACCGACACCATAAATGGTGACCGAATGAAGGAGGTTCCCCTTTCATTTTTATTTTATTATTTTTTTTTTTTTTTTTTTAATTACATCTGGTATATTGAACATCAAAAACATCAATTAGTTGGCACATGAACGGAAGCAAACATATATGATGCCTGTGTGTTTGTTTGTGCGTGTGTATGCGTGTGTGTGTGTTGTCATACAACATGTTCTCGTTTAAAGATAGTACAAAAAAAAAACGTTTTCCTTTCCTTCATTTTTCTTCACAATCGTGTGTTACTTTTTACTGTCAAGATTATTTATATGTGCTCGTACGATAAATTATATCATTTTTTAGTCAACGTATGTATTATCATTATTTGCAATTACTATAATAGAATCGATTCGAATATTACATATGTGTATATGCAAATACACGTCTATAATATTCATGACGTACGAGTTTATTTTATTTCTTTCTTTTTTTTCCCCCCTCCTATAGTTTTAAAACGTATAAATGTCCATTTTGTTTTATAATATATNATATTATATGTTGTGTTAATTTAAAATAGAAAAAAAAAACAAAAAAGAAAAGAAAAAACGGGCCACGTTTTATGCGTTAGTGTGTCGTTTTTTTTTTATTTTTTTACAAATAAGTATACGGTGAGTTAAAGATTTTAGGTTGTTATTATTAATTATTGGCAATGTTAATTTGGAACGGATATAGTTTGTCTTCGAACGATTGTATTATCATCGATCTCGTATTTTTATCAACAACAATTTCATTCGCGAGAGTTTTCATTATCCTTCTTTCTTTTTCTTCAACTTTTAATTTTGTTTATCTCTTATCTATTATATATCTTTTCAATCTCAATTCATATTAATTTTTGTGTTATTCATTTCATCTTTATGATTCATTTATTTAACGTTCATTATAACCATCGGTGCACACACACACCGTGTTTCAATTCGAAATAACAGTTAATATTTTCTCAGG